CGTTTTTGGTGTGAGCTTATAACTTGAGAACGGCTTCACCGAATTCAACCAAATTTATACGGCATATTCAGGCTATCATGCAGATGGTTTATGTGAAGTTTGCCCGAATTCGTAAAAGGGGGTGTGGCACCTCCCATACTAACTAAAATTTGTATGTTGTATATCTCTTGAAATATTTGTGGTAGAGTACTGGAAGTTGGTATAGAGGTATATCACATAATTCCATACTCATGGAGAAAAATGGGCGGTATTGGAAAAGAGGGCGTTGCACCTCCCATCTTATAAGTAAAAAATAAGTACAAGATTTCAACCAAATTTATACGGCATAGTCGGGCTATTATGCAGATGGTTTATGTGAAGTTTCCCCGAATTCGGAAAAGGGGGCGTGGCACCACCCATACTAACAATAATTTTCATCTGGTATATCTCTTGAAATATTTTTAGTAGATTACTGGAAATTGGTATAGAGACATATGAAATAATTCCATACTCATGGACAAAAATGTGCGGTATTGGGTAAATAAAAAAATAAGTGCACGAATTCTACCAAATTTAAACGGTATATTCGGACTATCATGCAGATGGGTTATGTGAAGTGGGCCCGAAGTCGGTCCAGCGGTTCATGATATATGACAGTTTATGTCTGTCACATGAACCACGTATATGGTACAACAGCACATACATGAAAAATCGAAAACATAGTGAAAAATTGTTGCTATAATGTGCTGTGCTTATTTTTTATTCGGATAAATTTAATTCAAGTATAAACATGGCTGCAAGTTTTTCAATAGGGATTTTGTAGAGCCAATGGAATGAAAGTCACCACAACACAACATATCTGTCATTTCATCGTATTATCGAAAAGGTGGTGTACATTGATATTCGGTCTTTCTATTTTGGACTTTGGAGAATCAACACGTGTGTTTAATATAGTTCTTAATTCATATTTCATTTTATTCTTTTTCGCCAATTTCAATATTTTTGCACAAATTTGTTGCAGCGTTTCGTACGAAAAGTTTGAGTACACTGGAAATTTTCCATGCAGGTATTTTTCCTCATTGATTTATAGTGAGCAAAACCATTGTGGAAAATTGTGGTTGTGTTGTGTTCTTTGGCTTCGAATGGAGTTTTTTCAAGTGCTCTTTTACTGTCGATTGTGAATTTCATTTGATTATTTTAAAAAAAGTGCGTTTACCATGCGATTTATCGAATTCGTTCCTATGCATTGAGTTTTTCGTTCGCTACTGAATAAAATGCCACGATCCAGTCGTTCAAATATAGGCCGACGTACGCATCTTGCGAACATGATGTTATCGCAAAGAAGATCGCAAAATGTTGAGGAGCACTCCCAATAAAAGGAAGTACGGCGTGCAGGATTTTTCATTAATTTTTCAATATTTTTCAATATTTGGTGTAGGGAAGCACACCGGGGTACCGCTAGTTATTTTATATAATAAAGTTGGTAGAACGAAATTCGAGGATGTGGTCGACAGGTAAAACGCAGGCAGATTTTATGAAACTGAAAGTATTTTTATCTACATGCAAATTTAAACAAAACTATCGGCAGTTAAAATTCTTCACTGTTCTTCACTTAGGATTCTGTGTTGGCATCGTAATTGGCTTTTCTACTGTAGTTATTGTTTATGACTACTAAAAAAAATATTTAACCTATAATAACTGATTCCAAGAATTGGTGGCCCATATACATACATACAGTGGTCGAAAAAATTATAGCCGCACCACATTTTTGACAAGTTATTTTTAAATAAAATATGGGTGGTTCACAAGGTGTCGTACGTGTCGTATTGTCGCATGTTGTAAAGTTTTTAACGGCTAAAAAAATGTTTAGAGGACTTGAAATCACCAGCAACTATTTTTTAACGGTGTGAAATTTCATAATAAAACCTTTATGTTAGCTTGCGATTTCCTTAAATATAGTTTTAGCCGTTTAAAGTTTATGACATACAACAGTACGACACTATACAACACCTTGTGAACTCCCTAATAGTTTATTCTTTAAAAAACCCGTGTAAGTTCAAGTTTCAGCCCTGTGCAATATATATTCGGTAAACTTTCGTAAAAGTTTTCGATTTCCTAGAAATTCTAATACATCAAAGTGTAAGTGTTAAACGGCTAAAAATGCCGTTGATAATTTTGAAAAAATTTTGTCGAGGACATTACAATTTTTTTTTTTTTATATATCAATAAATTGCGTTATTCGTTATATGGAAGCAAATGCGACAAAAAAATCTACATATTTTAACTCATAAGGATTTGTATAATCTACACGATTTGGCATTATCTACAATAAAAAACCGTAACAAAGATAAAGGCAGCATATTTAAAAGTTTCTTTGCTAAAAGTAAAAAATATTAAAGGCAAAAAGTCGGAACTGGACGCAATACATTATAGATATGATCGCACTGGTGACTACAAAGAAATCAATGTTAGAGCAGGGAGAGGGCAATGTCGAATCAGGGATTATGAGGGGCATGCTTCCCATATCTGCATCAAACAAGCAGAGCCCATCAAATTATGCAATGCGGGACAAATACCAGAGTAAATGGTTCCATGGTACAAAAACTTACTGTCAACAAATGCTGGTCCAGCATTCTTTCCGGAACCTTCTTTCGATCATAGCGATAAGGAGGCAGATGAAAATTAAATTTCGACACTTATTTTGTCTTGAATAAATGCAGTCATTTCATATTAACTTTGTTTAATATACCATTAAATAAACGACCATGAGCGCATGTATAAGCAGGTAAAAGTCACTAATAAAACCTCAATATCTCACATTTTTTCTGAGTGCACTTAGTGAGTTTTACCTGTCACCCCACGATATAGTTTTCTCAAAAATAAGTATTGCCAATTTTTAAGATTATTCAAGCATACATTTTGAAATAACTTATTCAATACATATTCGTCATTATGCAACAAAAAATTTTAGATAATTTGCTTTAATTTTTTTTTATTTAAATTTATTTAAATTTTTTCTTCAATTTCATACCCATACTAGTTTTCAACATTGCACTAAATTTTTAACCGACTTCAAAAAACTTTGAACTACGTAGAATATGCTATACTTTATAAAAAAAGTATAATTTATAATGGGTAATAAAACTTGTTACCTAACATTTTTCCAAAAATTCGGAATAAAAACTTTGATATTTTTGGATGGTATTGGTATAGTTTGTGGAATTTTTGTACAAGGTTCGAAATCTGGTTTGGTAGGGTACTGGTCATGTAATGTGCTAAAATTAAAAAAAAAATAAAATACAAACATTAAACAAATAAAAGAAAAATAGCAAAAACTAGTCAAGATATCACTTAACTTAATCAGCTGACCGCAAGTGTGCCTGCCTGTTTTTGTTTACTTTATGCTACACCGCGAGTTTTTCATTGTAAAAGCAATATAATTCGAATTAATATATTGTAATTTAATTTGATTTATTAAAATCTTTCTGAAGTGGCTTCGTTCTTCCAGTCCTCCTCTATGTATGTATGTATGAGTTTCTATGTCAAAGAATACATATTTACATTTTCTATTTCGGTCAACCCAAATTTCCACTAATGTGGCATCGTAGCAATATGTAATATGGCTTAAATGCGCATTTACTTACCCACTAAAGAATGTAATATCAGTTATCTCTCATTCCGCTGTCAATCACGTAGCTTTGCATGTCAGAAATAGCAGACATAAAACTTTTCGCTTGCTGTCAAACACCTACTGACGTGAGAGCGATCAAAGCCAAATTTACAAAGCGAAATTTATGTATGTATGTATACTAGGGATAGGTAGTGGTGAGTTTAAATTCGATTCTTTTCAAACATTGCCTAACCAATATTTGATTCGAAATTCGATTTACTTCGATTTTTTCGAATGTTCAACATTTTTTTAATGAATATTTAAAAGTTTGTTGGTAAGAATAATAACTCAAATCGAAAATGAGATTCAATTGAACTTACATTAATGTGATTAACTGACCACATCACTCGTCTTAGCTTCACAACCAAAAATTGGTTAAACTAAACACATTTTTTTCTCAAAATGTATATTAAAACTAATTTTTTTGTGTTTTTATTTATTTTTCTTGCTATACAAAAACTAAAGAAATTTGTATACTTCACGTTATATTCATGTATAGAGGTATATATAAGTACATTTAATGACAGCGTATGATTTTGTGTTTTAAAGCGAGGTCTTTAAGTAAACAAGGAACAAAATATTAGGGCATTGGAGAGTTTTATCGAACCACATTTTTTGTTTATCCATAGCTTAACGGCTGGTATTCTTTACTTAACATTTGACACATTACTTTCACTCGCTTTTGTGCAAATAAAAACGAGGTTCGATTCTTTTCTAGAAAGGTTCGATTTTATCTGAATTATAGCACCACAAAGTGCGATTTCAAAAATTCGCCAGTTTGGAGCTAAGATTCGCTTAAAATTCAAATCTCGAAGCTTCGAATATCAAAATTACCCATCCCTAGTATATACCACATATCTACTTACGCCATTTCTTTATTTCCCCAATACGAACTGCCATTCGAGATTAGATATTTGTGTATAATACATACATATGTACGAATACTTATATTTTGAGCCATAAATATCGACTTACAGATATTTTCAGCAATAAAATTTAATGTACTTTATATTGGAAATAAATTGCAGCCCAAATAAGCACGTAGCAGAGGTGATAAAAGTGAAGGAACACGCAAAGCAGAAAAAGGTTAGAGAAAGAGGCTCACAATAGGAATGTATGGAAATAGACAAATACGACAGGTGTCACGTTATGCGGCACGCGCTGACTTCGAAAGATATGTATGTATGGATGTATGTATGTACATAAATATGTAATGAAATAGACAAAAATTATAAAAGAAATAATTTGTGTAATGTCCGCAAAGAAACGCCATGGAATGCATTGCGAAATCGCCCTCGGCGTATGCTTATATTGAGCAACCAACATAGCGTTTTACCTTCCCTTCACTTACCCGGCATGGCAAATACGCGTGCGTGCCGATCTGTGCGGTTACATTTGTTGTGTCAAAGCCATCCAAATAGGGCTCCACGAAGACAGTGCCCGTTAGGCCCGCAGCTGACGCCGCCGCCGCTGACGACGTGCCACCCGCTGTGAAACTGCTGCTACTGGCTGATGTGGAGGGGGAAGCGATATACTGCGGTGTCAGGTCGACCACTTCAGCTTGGAGGGGTACTGAAAAAAGAGGGGGAAAAAAGGAAATTTGTTAAAATTGCTGGAAAGTGGCGAATAAGTACGTTAATTGTAGGAATTGTGTACAGTTAGTTCATAACATCTGCATACATATGTATGTATGTATGCATGTGCAAGTGTGTTGCTCTATGGGTTACCGCATCATAAAGTTTGTGACTTTTTAATTATGCAACCTCAAGCCGAAAATTGCAATCATCCATCAAACGTTGAGCCGCGAGTGGCTGTCAATAGCAGGGCTTGCCGCAAATAACACTTTTGTGTCGCAACAGCTTGCCAACAACGATAAAGTTCTCATTTTCAATGCGCTTGCACACACAGCCACCTAAAACTTCCGTAGGGATACACGAATAATGTCGAAGAAGCATTTATACGTTGGCTAAAATTAATTTATGACATGAAAATAACGGCTAATGGTGCTTAAAATTCTCACTCCATTGCTCGCCTCTTTTCTACGTGAAAGTTTTCACATTTTTCAGATCCTAGGCCACGAGATTTTATTATGACTTGCCATTTATTATTTAGTGCCGTCAAGACTACGCTTAGCAGTATGCACTTTTTTACTTTAATTGAAAAATATTTCTTTACTAGGAACAATACTAGTAACTTTAAAAGCCAAAATTGTGGATGCGAAAAATTATTTAGATATAACTTTTTTATACCGACACATAAAGCGCTTTGACCCAGTTCGCTGTGTTTTTCGAAACAGAAGCATAAACCAACTTTCAAAACGCTTAGAAATTTAAAAGCCTTTCAACTCGAATTTGTTTTCAAATCGTTTTTTTATTTCTCACATCGGTTAGAAAACAGGTATAAACACACATCATTCATTTGACGCGAAGAGAAAAAGGCTGATTTTCTTTAAAGTGAAAGTACATGGATGGATGGTCCATCGCGGCACTGTCATCGTCACTGTCACCGTCACCGTCACCGTCACCATCACCGTCATCGATGATTATGCATCTAGTTACACACTATCCGTTTGACGTAGAGTCCGAAAAATCATAAACTCGCTGCTAATCTTTGCAAACTTTGCGTTTTACTTTTGTACTTCTTCTATTAGGCTTTCCTCCATAATTTTTTTCAATTTCGTTTTTCACACAAAAAACGCCGAGACATGTAAACTTCATTTTGGGCCGTAGATTGCGGATCTGTATACCATTTTTCTAGATCAGGTAATTTTCCCAAGATATTGTCATTTTAAATTTCGATTGCGAATGAACCCTGCGGGGAGTGACGTTTGCGCGAACACTAACTATTAACTGTAGATTTTGTTCCAAAAAAACATTGTGTTTTTTTTTTTAATTTTTTTATTTAATCTACATTCAAAATTGCATATTGGTTTATTTGTTTACATTTTCTACAGTAGGTGGTCCTATATCCAAATTCCGTCAGACATAATGACAAAATGATAGGTAATATAAAACTTTGAACTTAATTGTATTTGTTCTTATTTAAAAAAGTACTTGTGAAGTGTAGAAAAAAATTCTTCAAAGCAGTTTTTGTATGAGGATTTTTAAATAGAATTTTTGAAGAAAACAACCTCCCAATTGCATCTACATGACGTCTGCTCAACATTACAACTCTCCTTAAGTTGGTTTAGTCATAGTAAATTTAAAAGTGAGGTTTTTATCGGAAATTGATAATTTTTCACTGCAAGGAAGTAAAATTTTAACTTTAACCATCTGCTACCATTTGACACCAATTTTCCAGACCAAAATATATATATTAGATATTTATTAATAAATCTTGTTTCAATTTAAACTGAAAATTCTATCAAAATTTTAAACACTCATTGATGAAATAGTCATATAAATAAACAATATGTCGAAAAATGGGCGTTTTTAGTAATCAATGCTATTGACACTCAGGAAAAATGTCAAACCTTCGGTGTCTGTCAGACCTACCGCATCAGTCACAGAGGGTTCAAATGGAAAATTTTACTCATACGCCATGTAGGTGTATGTTCGCAGAGCTGCTGATGCGTCGATGCGTCGATGGCGTCGTAATTTTGTCTTTTTTAAGCTCAATGACGTTTTCACGATTTTTCCCCCGTAATGCCGATTTTTTATTTATATAAAAATGTTGTTAAAGCTAAATTAATCCAAAATACAACCATGCATTTATCTAGTTTTTTCTACAACCGTGCTTTTATTTATTTTAATTTTTTTCTAAAATTGTAACCAAATCGTTAATTTGCACTGCTGACACTCATTTGAAAGAGACAGAAAAATAGCAGCCAAGATTAAATACATTTAAGATATTAACTGCCTTGTATATAGTATGTTTTACATTTAAATACAAGTTAATAAATGCTAATGTTACACTTTAAAACTGGATGAAAATCTTCAAAAACTTCAAACCAGTGGCGGTCAACAAATTAAAAGCAGTTGTGTTTTAAATTGTAATTTTAAATGTCGTTTGCAATTAAAAAATCCACTTTTATTAACCCATTTGCAATGTGGGTTCGCTTTGGTTTTGTAATGAGTGGTCAAAATTTATTGTATGTCATCTCGCTTGTATTTTTCATTTTGTTAAAAAAGTATAAGATACCAAAATTTGATTTTTTGGCCGAAATGGCGATTTTTTAGGATAAATTGAGGAAATTTCTGCAAAAGCTTTCGGCAACGCTGCAGCTGTATGTTCTAGTACGCCCATGTACGCTGTGGCGTATGAGTAACATTATTTACTGCTTCTATTTCATATCATGCACATTTTCATTTCACCATTCACAACCTATTTATTCATCCATCGATTTTCGTCGCTAGTAGCTTGATTTAATACAAAAATTTTTTTATTTTTTATTTTTTCCTTGAAAATATCTTGGAAAAATATCTTGATCTGAAAAAACGGCATTCAGATGCATAAGGCCAGAGGCATACAAAATTTTAAAAAGTTTCTATACTTGGGACTAGGTTATACTTTTCTAAATGTTTTTAGCGCGCAGATTTGCTCCATTAGCTTAGGTTTTTGCAATAATCAAATAGTCGAAAAACACGATTCTTTCCAACATTCGCTGTGCAGTTTCATCACGAATAACTCATTTTTGTAGAAAACTGGATAACGTATTTCAAAGTAAGTAAAAATAATTCTTTATTCATATCTCATTTTAAACCCGAGATATTGTGCTTTGATATTTTTGTGTTTTGCGATATTTCTTCTACTATATATATATATAAACCCTCGGTGGTATACTTTTAGGCTTCTCTATTGATAATATGAATGTAGGTATGTATGTGGGGGTCACAATTAAACAGCATATGTGTGTTCAAAATAAAATATATCAAGCAAATAAATAAACGCACTAAAATAGAGAACATACAATAATAAAATAGTGATTTTTTTTAATAGTTTGATCCTTACCTCCTAAGCTCATAATACGAACATACTACAAACTTAATTTTTGAATTAATTTGATTTAATTTCATTTTGTTTTATTTGATCTTATTGCAAAAATAGTAGTGGTGATTTCGGTGTTGCCCTTTCACGGTGCAAAATGTGTTTGGTGTTACACTCAACCCTTTAAAGGGGCATGTTTTTAACTTCTTGTCCTTGTCCAGCTCACGAATTTCATAATGTTATCGTTTAAAGCAACCATCTGATTTTCAGGGCAATCATCTGCCCTGACAAAGCTTCAAATGGCAGAAAATGTGCCTCTTTTGCCTTAAAAGAGTGTGACATTTTACACTACACAAAGTGTTCTCACCGTTTGCCCTTATTATAGGGGATCGAACACGAAAAGAGAAAGGGCCAATCAATATGCGACAGTTTTTAATAGAAACGTAATCACCATTGGACAAAAATATACAAATCACAGATCCAAATGGTATACAAATATTAGGACAATTCAAAAAATCTTCATCAAATTGCAACTTTTTAATCTGAATTTTCAGAACATGTCTGGGTTTGCAGTTTTGTAGCTAATACAATTATGTGTGATGAAGTGCAAGTTTCAAACAACTAAAAAATCTCGTGAATTTTTGAGAATTTTGTTTTTTGAAAACGGATTTTTGCACTTTTTTCACATTAGCACGAATTTTTTATGAAATAAAATTCGGGATACCGTTAGAAACTAAGTTTCAAAAAATCAACGCCAGTTTTTGTAAATGGCACTTGTTACATAAACAACCGCAAAAGCAGTGTCGAAAAAAAGTCTCAAAAACCAACGAGATTTTTTAGCCAAAATAAACTTGCGCTTCATTAGGCTGGAATTATATGGAATATAAAACTAAATACTGTTCTAAGGAATCAGATTAAAAAGTAAAAATCCTGATGAAAATTTGCTGATTTTTCATAAATTTTGTATAAAGCTTGAAACTGCGATTTATATGGTATTTTTATAGAAAAATAGCAAATAAAAATAGCTCGAAAACAGTACGAATTTAAAAAAAAAAAATCAACACATGGTCATTTGTTTGAGTATTCTATATCAGAGTTATTATTTCTTCTTCTTCTTAATTGGCGCCGTAACCACCTAATAATAATTTAAGGCCGTGCTTTAGATTTTTCAACCTCACGATATCCGGTGTGTAGACGACACTCTAAAAAATATTTGCTTAAATTTTCACATATTAAGATAGGTAACCAGTTTCTTGTCTAAATGAATGCAAATTTACATACAGTGTTAATTAAATTAAACACTGCTTGTTTACGTAGAACAAATTTAAAATTTGTTTGTTGCATTCTAAACACACACAATTTACAGTTTAAGGTTAGCGTGAAATTTTTCCAGAAACACATATTGTTTTCACATGAAATTTTGACCCATCAAAAAGTAAAGTATAAACAAAATCGAAAAAACAAATTTGCAATCAAACTAACGTTGAGCGGTGGCCGTTGACTATTGAGCCGCTTTTGATCTTTATGCTAAGATCTGTTATATGTGCATAGCTTGCAATAAATATGGAAACGAATCGATCGTGCAAGGCAAGTAGTTGCACATGCAATATATGTATGGTCCATTGGTAAATGACAAAACACTATGA